GGGAGACTAAACAGAAAGGAATGGATAAATGGTGATTAAGAAGTACAGAAAAATAAGGAACAAGCAGTGATCAAAGTAGAGAAAAGAAATAAAAAGGATTCAAAACTGAAAAGAATCAAAAGTCTGAAAAGAATAGAAAGAGTGAAAAAGAAATAAGAACTTGGTGCTTGATTACATCTAAAAGAGCAGAAGTGGGTTACTTTTAATTATGTGAAAAGTCTAGGATTATGCACCAGTGAAGGGAAGAGTTTGTACAGGGAACTGGGGGACAATGTCCAGGGTTGTCCAAGACTCAGAGCGGTAAATCTTGCCCATTTGATCAAGTTCAATGTTTGCTACAGGGCTTATGTACTCTGAACTCACATGAGCAGTGTCTCTCTACCTTTTGCACAGCTCCACGTGGAATACTCCTGTAACGCATCCTCATTTTCCTCTTTCAGACTTGCTGGTTTGGGTTAGCATTTCTTTGTGCCCTCCAGTCTGACCTTTGTTCTTTTATCAGCATATACAATTAACTAAAAAACAACAGCAAAATGACTAAGCAGCACTAACAAGACTTTCTCGGACCGGTCATATTGAAGCCCCCTTGTTTTTTCACATCCGCTCCCGTGTTCCTGCATGTTATCCCTTGTTGTGTTGCATCTCAGAAGCTTTGTTAGCACCTGCCCACAGAGCGCACCATCGTTCGGTGTTACACATGACACATGTACTACACAGCACGAATAATACATAGCACGAGTCTGAAACTGGTAACTGTGACCGAGGAGGGAAAGCCTTTGTTACTACATTACCTGCTCTCTCAGGCATCTGACTTCTATTTAGCTTCACCTGAATTCCTCTCTATTCACAAAGCAGCAATTGTTGCTGCTTCTCCTGCCCATAATGTTTATTTTCTCCACTTTTTATTTGGAGGTCAGAGGAGCTTCCAGGCACTGCCAGTTTGCCTGTTTTCTCTCTGCTTTTGACCTCTGTCGATTAAACTGTTACTGTAGGGTTTAACTTTCAACAGATGACTGTGATTATAAGTATTCACATGCTAATAATCAAATATGTGTTTAAAGTGCCTTGCTGGCTTAGATTTGATGAGAAAAACCTTCCCATTGTGTATCTGCTTTACATCTATGACAGAAAGCGTTCTTAGTCTTGATTGGAGCTTCTAGGTGTAATGGACAGTACATTCCCATCGATATGTATGTATTTATATTGACTGTAGCAGTTGCCAACTGAGAGTGGAGTCTCACAAGAAGTGCTAAACAAAGTTTCGATGTTCCCCGTCCTAAACACCTTACAGCCTGCGCAAACAAGACAAACACAGCATGTAAGATAAAGAAATGTAAAATGGTATCACAGAGACCATCGTGTCAAACATCATGTGAATTTCACAGGGGTCGATGCGTGTTATTGTTGGAGATGCTGTTACGGCTAAGTCATCTCAAGAAAGGAAAGATTGCCCAGTGGCTCAGGCAATCATGAAGATTAGCTTTTGTTCCTTGTTTTGAATCCCTGGACACACAGGGAAGCTGGGACATTTCTCATGGTGACGTCTGTCATTTGTCCCCTTGAGGAATGAGTCACAGAAGTTGAGATGACAATTCTTGTCTTGAAATATACCAGTGTGCTAAATAAAAATACCCATCAGAAGGAAAATACATCATCTGCAGTAGGAGAAGTTTTGGGAAAATTATTTATTGATGATGTCTCTTTTCTCTCTCTCTCTCCCCACCCCCAACCCCTGTTTTCCTTGCATGTGTGTGTGGTTTTTTGTTTGTTTTTACAGCAGTTGTATGCTGCCCAACTTGCTGCGATGCAAGTGTCTCCGGGAGGCAAGATACCTGGCATACCCCAGGGTAACCTTGGTGCTGCTGTATCCCCTACCAGCATCCACACAGACAAGAGCACAAACAGCCCTCCACCCAAAAGCAAGGTACTGTACCAGGCCCTACAGCGTTGCGTTTCTGACAATGTGGGTACTTGCATGTTGGGTTTTTTTTTTCTGAAGGGTATCTGTGTGCCACTCAGTTGCAGGCAGCTTTGTTCTCAGGATGGCTTCCTAAAATAGAATATTCGTAGTGCCATTTTTCCAGTGGGAGGACCCCAGCACAGTAACACCGAACAACCATTCGTACACGACATCAGTAACAGACACCACCTCAGCTGAGATCCCATGGTTTCCCTTGCAGTGCCTCAGCTATCACACTGCTGTTTCCTCCATCTTCAGTAACAGGTAGCAGGCTGCGGTGACCAGCTCCTACTCCAGAAACTGTCGTTTCTTTTCAGAATGCTAAACCGGAGTCAGGTTAGCAGCATGTTAACGAGAGATGGGGCAGCTCATCCGTGGCCAGATCCTGTCCCGGGGTTCAGTGGGAGTTTGTGGAGGAACAAGTCTCCAAAGCAATGTCTGGTTTTTCATAGAACAGGGCTGGCTGGGATCTGTCCATCAAGCAATGGACCCTGATGAATAATCTTGGTCATAGCTGGTCAATTAGATGACCTCAGCATATGCCACAGCTGGGCAAAAGTAACGGGTGAAAATTAAATGGCACATCTTTGGAGCTGCAAAACAACTAGGAAGAATTTAGCTAAGGAATGCAGGGAGAAAACAGTCCCATTTAGGTGACAGTAAGAGCTTTATAAAAATGTGTCCTTTCTTTTTTTTAGTGTCCTCTAGCATGCTGTCCATGTCCTTTATCATGTCAGAAAAGATTCCTTGAATTGACAGTAGTGTCTTGTTTGTACCCTAACAGTAAAGCAGCACAGATTAAAAATAACCAGACAAATAAATAATACTATTGTCAACTCAGTGAGATACATGTTCAAAGAACAAAATAGATGGTGTGGAACCAGTGGCTGTTGTGTTAATGAATCAAACTCTGGGTCTATGTTTTCTTTCTTCTCTCCTCAGTGCAGACTTTCTGACTTCCCGAAGTTTATCCTTGGCTTGGTCTCTTCTTTTATATATTATAGAGTAAGGAATCACAAAGCCATGCAGTGCTCGACGATAGGGTGTTTTTCTTTCCAAAAAGTCATGTCTATGGTTAACAAGAGATTTTTGTGCGTTTTACAAGGGGTTTTTGTGTGTGGCTAGCAGCTTGCTAGATCCACTACACTTAAAATCCCAGTGTTGTTTTTGGATCTCTTGTGCACAAGCAGAATGTCTGATGAGATCTAAGGGGACACAGTATTTATTTTGTGCCAATTGTGGAATTAGAAGGCCTGCCATATCTACCGGTAACATCAAGCATAACCGTCTTACTGGCAGCTGTCAAGATCAGCTCTGTTCTCGCTTGTGTTTTATTGCTTTTTCATATTTGTAGGTGTTCCAGTGCCTTGGCTTGCAGTTCTGTAGGACACAAACAAAACTTATTTGCAAATTGAAAAAAAAAAAAAAAAAAAAAGAAAAAGTGGGCCACAAGGAAAGGAAGGGGGCTCCAAAAGGCTGTAAAATTGTGCAGCATGAGCCCTGTGATGCATGCTGTTTTCAATCTGCTGTGTGCCAGTTGGAGGCTCAGAGAGAGAGAGAGAGAAAGAGAAAGGATAATGCTGAGAAATGATAGAGTGGCTGTGACCTCCAATGAAAAAAAAAAAAAAAAAAAAAGAAAAAGTGGGCCACAAGGAAAGGAAGGGGGCTCCAAAAGGCTGTAAAATTGTGCAGCATGAGCCCTGTGATGCATGCTGTTTTCAATCTGCTGTGTGCCAGTTGGAGGCTCAGAGAGAGAGAGAGAGAAAGAGAAAGGATAATGCTGAGAAATGATAGAGTGGCTGTGACCTCCAAGCTC